CATGCTTCATCCACCAGCTTTGTGACTGGCCCTGGCTGGGGAAGGGTGGTAGCACCTCCCAGCAGAGTCACCGTCCATAAGCACAGCTCTGGCACGGCTGACTCTAGAGGGAGCTGAATGCTAGTGCCGAGCAGACACCCAGCTTTTAGACCCCCAGATCTCAGGAAAGGGAATCTAAGCCCAGGTGTGTGCCAGGCCTTCGTTACCTACCTCAAACACAAGGTTAACCACCTCTCCCTTCTCCTCAGATTCCCCCTCCTTCTCTGTCTCCCCAGGAGCTCTTTGCAGCACCAAATCTCACTTCTATTTGTAGCCAGGTTTCCTTAGGAAGCCGGGCATATGAAATCACAGTTTCCACGTCTGTCTGTCTGTTCACATCGCTCCCCCCTCTTTCCAATTTCAGCTAAAATCACCAGAGGGATAGAGATAGCAGAAAAAGCCAAGTTCCTACAAGCTTCCTGAAAATAGCTGGAGAGATACCATTTATGTCCAATGCAAGGGAAAGACTGGTCAGTGGGCTCAGCCCATACTGGATGCCAGAGTCTCAACAGCACAGCACCCTGCAGCAGACCCAGGTGGAGCCCGGATTTGCACAGATGTGGGCACCAGTGTCCGTGAGCTGGGAACACATGCAGATTACGGCACGTTGAGCTTGAACAAGGTTCCAGGTTGTTCCCTGTACCAGTCGCAAGGAGAGCCATAGACATGCGTTGTCTATGACCAACCTGTTGGTTGGCTGTCCAGTGATGCTTGTGTCTTGGGGGTCACTGGGCTTTATTCCAGGTTCTAAGTTTCTTTGGGATGCTGGAGAACAACAGGTTTACCCTGGTAAGCCATCAGGACAGTATCCCCTCAAAACCACAGCAGAAAACCAAATTCTGTCCTAAGATGCAATGCCAGAAAATTGCAACTCTGAAAGCCCTGAGCAGATCTGGACACTACAAAAGGCAGAGAAATGGCTGTACCTACACAACATCATTTAAGGTGATGTAGAGACTCCTGAGAGCAAGGACATAAGCCAAAGCTTGTGCCATGTCATGTACAGCAGTACCAGGAGAGAAAACTAGGTGTAGCCTGTTTAAGTCTCAGCCAATAGATCACAAAAACCTTAGTGAAAGTGGAGGGAGAGAGAAGAAAGCAAAGTTTCATCACCTTAAAACTGTGCTACTTGGTGTTGGCATTCAGAGATGCTTGACATAAAGAGTATGTCCAACCCCCTCAGGTATCTTGAATGTAAACCCTGGTACAGAGGAAGCTTTGGCCAACGTGGCTTCCCAACGCTGACTTAGGAGTTGTTTACGTCTCCTGAGAAACAGAGCTGGTGGGGTGTAAGAGGAGTCAGAAAATGCATCATCTTTCCTGGGGAGTTGGTGGGGGGGGGTTCATGGCTTGGCTGGCAGTTTATGGCTCTAAAAATGCTAGATTATTTCCCTATTTGGACTAAATGTCTGTGTTGAACAAGGGGCAAAGCTGCTATTGAAGAATCATTCGGAAGGAAAGGGGAGAAAGAAACATTTCATAGGTGCTCCCAAGGGACCACAAATGCCTTTCTTTGGTGATATCCACTTCCCCAGCCAAAGCCATATAGAACAGCTCTTTTTTTCCTGGATGCCACCATCACATCAACATGCAAGTGTCCCAGCTTCCCTTTTCTAAATAAAAGTGCATCTCTTCTCTTTGTGGTGGTGACAAAAAGCACATGAATACCTAGGCAAGTGTCAGGAGAGCACTCAAAGAATCCCAGCCTCTCTCAGCCTTCATTTCCATTGCCTGACTCGCAAATTTCCAACATCTGGGACTGGAGGAACATCTTCCTGCAAAGCGCAAGCAAAGAGGTCCCCTGAAATCACACACTTGCACCCACATGCCTGTGACCTTGTGGTTTTACTAAAGCTTTCATTTTCAGACTCCGATTCTCCCTAGCGCTTGCTGCATTTCTGCAACATTTTGGCAGTTTGCTTTCGCCTTGGAGACAGAGCAGAGTGTGGAGTTGTTTTGCATGGCTCGGTGGGGAGGGAAGCAACAAGGCTGCGAATAAAGAATTAAACTCAAGATGACGGAAGAGCCCCAGCCATGCTTTCACCTAGACAAAGCCTACGTGATGAGCGCTGCTTAATGCCAGCCCTTAATAACACATGATGCTCGAGATGAAAAAGGAAATTTCAGCGTGGCTGCAGGTGCCTCCGACCACTCACCTCAGGAACCGCTTCAAGGCAGGAAAAGCAGCCCTGCCTGGAGGCACGCACAGCCCCGGCCAGGCGGAGGCACCGCACCCCGCCGCGCACGGGGGGATGCGCCCCTAAGCCCCCCGGGGAAGGCGATTTGCTCCGGCCCCTTGCCCGACCCCACCTGCCCAGCAACGCCCGGCTCTTGGGGTAGGGGGGAGGCAACACCGCGCCGCAGCCGCGCCTCCCGTCGCGACATGTCGCGATTGGCCGGCGGGGGAGGGGGGCGAGCCCCATCGCCTGCCTAAAGGTGCCGTGGCTGGGTTGTAAAATACGTTCTCTGGTGTGTGTGGATGTGTGAGCATCCTACCCCCGCCTCCCCATCGGCTCCCACACGGCTCCGGGTCCCTCTCCCGGCCCCCCCCAGCCTCCCCCGGCACTCCGACGCCGGTGTAGAAAGCGGTGTCCAGGCGCCGGGGACCCGCCGCGCTGGGCAGGGCCGGGGCGAGGGCCGGTCGGTCTCGGTCCTACCTGGCGAGGGGCAGGAGCGGGCGTCGCCGGGGCCGGATCAGCAGCGGCGGGGCATCGCGGCGGGGCGGGCGGCGGAGCCCCGGTGCGCGGCTGAGGCGCGGCGGCGGGCGGGAGGGAGAGAGGGAGGGAGGGAGGGAGGGAGAAGGGAGGAAGGAAGGGAGGGAGGGATGGAGGGATGGATGGAGGGAGCGCGCGCGCACACACACACTCACACACACACGCGCGCAGCGCCCCGGGGATGCGCTCAGCCGGCCCGCCCCGCAGGCAGCCTCCCCTCCCTCCGCATCCCTCCGCCGCGATGCGCGGGCAGGGAAAGACCTCCCTCCTCCGCGGTAGCAGCTTCAGCCCTCCTCCTCGTCCCCCTGCTGCTGGAAATGTTTCCCGATTTCCTCCTCGGATCGAGGGACTTTGAAAGGCAGGGCTGGCTGCGGACCCACCCCTAGCAGCCCTGCCCTCCCTGCTCTCCCTGCTTGGGGCATTTCCCCAGCCCTGCCCTGCCTGCCCCCAGCCCTGCCCCTCCTGACCGGGACAGTTCCCATCCATGACCTGCCTGACCCCAGCCCAGCCCACCCTGACCGGTCAGGTCCTGCTCGCCGTGGCTCGTCGCATCCCCCCGGCTGCCCTGCAGCCTGCCAGGGCAATCCCGAACCCATTTGCACTCTGCAGGAAGGAGCGAGCCCTGGGAGAGATGGCGAGAAGAGAAACACGTGCGTGTGTGTGCAAGGAGTGCCTTGCTGTGCCTGTCCCCGTGCCCCACAATGTTGCCCATGGCCCCTGTGGGGAGGCAGGAGGCCAGGGGACCTGGGTTGGGACTCACTTCCCTATCACATCCTCAGAGTTGAGGTGTTTGCAGAGGACAGGGGGGGACAGGGGGTGATAGGCAAGGAGCATGTGGGTCAGCTAGGACATTCCTGGGAACTGCTCTCACATCTGGCAGTTTAGTCAGCCTTAAACCCACAGACCCTCCTGTCCCCACAGAAGGGTTATCAGCATTGGGGAGGTCCTGCAGGAAGGCAGCAACCTGGCAGAGAAAGACTTGCTGCACCTCAGGCTGGCCCAAGTGTCCTTCCTGTGGGCAATTCCCCTTTCACCATGCCTGAATGACTCCTCCACCCTTCGCTGGCTCCAGCAAGGAGCAGATGAACCCATTGTCCCACCCTCCAGGCAAAACTCTCTGACTTTAGGAACTTAAAATAGGACCAGAGCTACTAACTCACACACTGGTCGTTGCAAGTACTCAGTGACCTTGACTAGCCCTCTATGCCCAGATCCTCAGGTGCAACAAGAACTGTGGAAAATCAAGACATTATTTTAGCTCCTGCACCCTCTGACCTTTTCCCTCTTATCTTGTTAGCTGTGCCTGTGATTTTTGTCACCACTGGTGAGACAGAAACGCAGAATTTTATCTTTGGATTTTATCTGTGCTTTTCTTCCTTACTTTCAAAAAAAAACTTATAAAGATTTTTGCATCACCATGTCCTTTAGCAGAGATGGAAAACTAAATTTCTCTTTTCAAGATGAGATGTAAGATATGGACAATGTCGCAAAACTCCTTTGTAAAACACTTTGTGATGAACTGACCAACCAACAAACCAGCTACTTAATGTCGCAGATGTTATTGATATTATTTAGTTTTGGACTTACTTTAAGAGCTTATTGCTTACGTATGGAATGAAAGGCGTTTCCATATAAGAATTTGGTTTAGAAAAAGCCCATGGTTTTGTGTCCAGTAGCTAACTCTGATTTTCTGTCTCACCTCTTTTGATTTAAAACTCTTCAGAGGAGGGATAAGGTTGCATCTGTCCATGTGGGGTATTTTGATGGTACTCAATTCTCCCAGCAGGGCCATTGATATAAAATGAGCACAGCTAAATGTGTACAGCATGCACAGTGCTGTGCTCTGATCAGGAATTGAGCAGAGCAGTGGATGTGTATCAGTGGCATTTGGTTTTGGCAGTGGCTGCAGGATGCAAGGTGCTGCACAAGCTGGCATGGCAAAAGGATAGTGTGAGCAGAAAAAAAATTGGCATGGTTGCAGCAAACACAATCCCTGGTGTTGCTTTTCACCCTGCATACTGAAATCTAATCACTGCAACAGTAAGCAGTGGAACTCAGATTTTAGTCATGAAGTTCTCCCTAAAGCTTCTCATTTCCCTCAGTAATGTTGCTGACCTACTTCCAGCTCTTTCAGTGAATATAGTACCCAACTTCTCTGGATCACCAAGAGTAAACTTTGCTAATGGGGATCCACTGGTGAGCTGCTTTCTGAAGAGCCAGGCACATTCTCAGTTCCTCCCAGCTCACCTCTCTCTGCAGCTTCCAGTGAGTGTTCCTGTCTCCCTGTGCCTCCTGCTGAGATCCTCAGTAAGGCTGCTTCAGCTGCGGGATTTTTGTGCCATTTGAGGGGAGCTGAAGAAAACAAGAGTTTGTCAGTGTTTGTGGTGATGCCCATTAAGTCCATGCAAATGAATCCTTTGTATCACCCAGCCTTAGTGGCACTGGGACAGAAAATGTGAAGCATTATTATCCCACCTGAACATAAGAGCAGATTTCATCTGCTTGAAAAGTGACTGGTTAGGAGGAATATGAAACAGGGAGCCTGGGATAAGATGTGCCCCACTTCCCAGTCCTTCACACATCCCTTTCCAGGAAATTCAGACCTTCATTTTTTACAGTCTCCAAGAGAAAGGTGGAGTTAGGCTCTGAAAGAAAAGAGTGGAAGTCAGGGAGTGAGTAGGAGAGACAGTGACTCCAATTGCTGAAAGGAGATACTGTGTTACAGGACCGATCCTCACTGCAGTGTCCATGGTTCATACTGCTTTTTCTCAGCCAAGCCTGCTGAAGTAGCTGTAACAGAATAGAGCTCTGCATGGACTGTGAAATCTGCTGGGCAAGCTGAGCAAATGCTCCCGTGGTCTCTCTGATGCTCTAGGCAAAAATGCAACAAGACTCCTCATGTCCTGACACAGCAAGTTTGTTACAGTGTGGACACATCTACACTTCAACATGGTTGCAGACTGGGCTGTGCTGAGAGAGGTAGCAGTTTCCTCCAGCTACCTTTACTTCCCAGTCTCTCTTTGCAGTCATGGAAGTGAACACCTACCATTGCAAACATGCTTACAACCACTAATTAGTTGTCTCAAAATCATGGAGATTCTCATGCCAATACTAGCGAATGGTTCATTCATTCATTCATTCACTCACTCATTCATGCACACCCACAGCTCTCTCTGACAGCAGCCTGCATCTCTCTGCAGTTGCTGGAGGAGGTTTCTGGGTATTGTCTACATATGTAGAGCAGAAAGACTATTTGTCCCTGGAAAGAATGGGGTTAGTGGACTGTGGAATCTCGAGCACAGGACAGAATGGTGCAGGCCAATTCTCTGCTAGATGCCTTGCGAAAAAAAGACATCTGAGCTGCTGCACAGTTTAGAGGTGGGGGACACAAAACGTCAAGTACTTCTTTGCTTGGAAAATTTCTGCTTTATGTTCCCTGTAAAAGAGACAAGAGGTCAGGGCAAGGTTAGTCTTCAGCTCAGCCAGAGCATGATCACCTCCAAGCAGCTGTCCTACCGCCCTTTCTTGGCCCTGTTTGGAACATATACTCAGTGCAATGCTTTGGTTTCTGCTCCAGCTTTTGGGTTCAGATAATGCTGGAGGATAACCAGTAAGTCCTCACTGGCTAGTTATCTCTGGTCGTGGTTTTCCTTGAGTCCCTCAGAAGATGCCAGAGAGGTCCCGCAGAAGCAGATGGGTTGTCGCCTCTGGCTTGCCATTCATCTATCTTTGCTCCTCACTGCAGCAGACTTGAGCATGCGCTCACTGAACATTCTCTGGCTCTCCTATGCATGTTCTTGGCAGAGACCTGGAGAATCCTGGAGAGTGGTGTTTCTAAAAAAGATGCTCAGAAACATAGTTTCCAGTGATTTGAGCACTCACTGTCACTGACACCTTCAAACCTGCCTTTGCTGTTAGAAGGATAAATCGGGCATTTAGAAACGTAGCAAATGGAGTGGGACACAGTAGTGAGTAGGAAGGGCAATTTTATGTGCTGGACATCATATGTTTCTTTTTGAGCTTTCCAGGTAGTGCCTCCTTAACTGTTTCCAAGTACCTGGTCTGAGTCCTGATGATCCCAGGGAGGTCTGATTGCATGACAGTTGTCCATCAGCTGGCCAGGGGGTTTGGATGTGAAAGGTGTCTTCTCCCCTGGAAAACCGACAGTATAGATTGTATCCCAGGGAGAAGGCAGTACTCAATGGAATGTTTTGGCACACCTGTGAAAAATCAAGAGCTTATGGTTTGCTGTCACTCCAATGCTTTGAGACCCTGCAGAGGTAACTGGAGAAACCATGCTTGTGGCGCTTCCGAGCTTTCACCTGAATACTTGCTCTATGCTGTGTTTTGTGCAGGTTTAAACAATAAATCCAGTGCACTAATTCATAAGCATAGCATCTAACAGCTTGGGAGAGAATTTTCCTGGAAGAAGCAGTGACTGGCCAAATTTTGCAGAGCACTGCTTAAATGTGGCAGACACAAAAGAGTTTTTGCACTGGAAACCACCTGCTGCATGGGGGTTGAAAGAAGTAGTTGGAGGAACTGGATGTGAACTTAGGGAGCTTGGAAATGGGGAGAGTTGCATGTATTTTGAAAACATCTAGTCTGCGAAACAAGCCACACACTCTTCTCTTCAAATTCTGTTTCAGAATTTTTTCTTTTTGAGAAAACTGCTTTCTGATCACCAGACATATACAAAAAAATTCAGTACGTGCACAGAATGACTTCAGCACTTGAGCTTATTGTAAGAGATGTACAAGGTGCAAACTGTCTCCCTACTCTTCTCAAAGTGGTAGAAACAAAAAAGCCTTCTGGCAGCTGTCATTTGTCTCAAGAGCAGTGCATGCTAATACAAGCATCTCACTCCCACTTCTCAGGCAAAAAACAGCTCCTAGCTGGAGTCACTGAGTCACTGAAAAATGAAGTCCCCTGCTGAACTGCCTGGCCCTTGGCATCTTTGCCCACCAAAACCACGACACCAACAGGGCTTTGTTTTGCTGTTACAAAACTGCAGAATACAGGAACTAAAAATGCAGAAGCAAGATCAACTGAAATGTGTTTCCCAGTGAAAGCAATAGCCTAGTGACTCTGCTGCCTCCCTGCAAGGGGCCATGGAAGTGCAGTGTGCCAGCCCTGGGGCAGCACTACAACCAAATAGGCACTAGCACTCTCCACTTGATGCTCCAGCTCTTTTCACCACCATTCCAAAGCTGTCCTAGCTTGGAAAAAAAGATAGGTTGAGAAAAAAATAATCCCCCCCCAATTCAGAATTAAGAAGTAATAAATACCGTGTTCTCTGGATTTGCCTTCTGCTTTTGAAACCTGGAAGTTTGGTGCTTTCCAATTTACTTGGCAACCAAATGTAAGTTCAAAGAAAATAAGAGTGATACGTAATCACACGACTTCAGGAGCTGGGACTTCTAGAAAAATGGAAGTGCAAGTGCCATATGGCAAGATGTGGGAACTGTGTCGTGCAAACTGGAGACTGTGATGCTTTCTCGGCAGCTCTGGCCACATGAAGCCATATTCCTCATTTGATCTGTTTGCAAGATTCTCATAGCTATTAGTGGGAAGTGCAGGGTGAATCAGACATAGTGCGTGACTCTGGCTGAAGCCCTTGATTGTGAAGGTAATTTGGCCTCCTGTTTATCATCTATTTGCCAGCCTTGAGCAAAGCTGGATATTCCAGGGAAAATAGACTTTTTTCATTAAAAGTGAGAAGTGACTGACCTCAGCTGCCTAAAGCACCTTATTTATATTTTATTTATATGTTCCAGATCAAGAAAGCTGGTGGAACACCTTGCAAAAACCAAGCCCCTTAGGTCAGAAGATGCGAAATTACTTCTTTTAAAGGTAAACATTTCTTCACTACAATGGACTCTAATCTGCTGTCCTTGAGGGTGGTCAGAAATCTTCCCTAACTGCTTGCTGCTTTGACTTTACCAACCTCTGCCTCAGCTCTGACTTGTTTCACCTCCAAGTGGCCTTGCCTGGCTAGGTGTCCCTCCAGCACTGGCCAGCTCTGCCAGAGATGAGCCTGTGAGTCCTGGGGACAGACCAGTGTCAAGGAACATGCTATCTGCTGTTATCAGCATGCAGCAGTCAATTTTAGGCCACAAGGACCCATGTGGCTGGGAATTTCTGTGCTCCTCATTCTTCCCAAGGCACCTTGGAGAAGGCCTGTGCCCTCGTTCCTGATTGACTCAGCCACCGGAACAGCTGAGACGGAAGCATGGTTCTTGTTCCAGTTTCCTTCTTTTCCCACAGCTTAGATGTTAGCCCATTGGCCAGGGACTAGCACTGGTGCACACATGGGTCTTGCTATTTTGGCATAGTTTGCTCCATTTATTCTATTTTCTTCTGAAGATATATGAACCAAAAATGCGTGTCCTCTCTGTGGTGTATGCTCAATAAGTGGTAAGGTAGTAACCAGTGCTGCATGCCCTAAACAGAGTAATTGAAGCCCTGCGTGTAAAGACAATGTAATTTAAAAAAAATAAAAGCAAAAGAAAGAAAAAAACCCCAAAAAATGCATTTAACTTCCTGATTACTTAATGGTTATGGGTTTGGGCATTTTGCTGCAGATTTTGGAGAAATGAAACTGCACCATTTGTAAGACTAGATTCTTCTTTCAATGCTGCTGCGTGCTGGCCTGTTCCCCTCTTGGAATTTCAGACATGGCCTGTTTGAAAGCTGCACTGAGCTGAATGGTTTTATCATGGCTTTCTGGGATTGTGATGATGTTTTAAAATGATTGAAGAGGCTCCTTTGCCACCTGTCTCACGGTTAGAAATCCCCAAGTGCCTTATAAAAGTCTCTTGTTCTTATGGAAAGCTGAACCCAGCTTCTGGCAAACCTGTTTAAGGTTCTGAGGCTGTATCCCTGTGTTTGTACGTGCAGGAGGGGCGTGGATGTGTGAGTGCATATGTGCAGATTGTGCAAGCTCTGACTTCTTCCCTCTCCTGTATTTCTGCTTATCTAGATGAGCTCCTGCTCCTGCAAGATCTCCCACCTCTTCCGCAGGTGAGACAATATCCTGAGTGTGAGGGTCAGTCCAGGAACACAGGCTGCTGTGGAGCATATTTGCGTAGGCTGGAGACCAGGAGACAGGGCCTTGGGGATTCAAGCATTACCTGGCTGCTGCTGTGCCTCCTGCTCTAGCAGTGCAAACAGTGCAGTGGCAGGTTTGGAAGGAATGGCACGGATGGGAAGGTTTGGCTGTGTGGGGAGAAAGCAGAGATCTGTCAGTGGTGTGTAGCCAGCTCTGTGTTTGGTAGACCAGTGTCTTACAGGGCTTATAGGGCTGATGGGAATACAGGCTTTCCTCTTTCATTCAGCTCCCTTCCATGTGCACCTAGGTCACTAAGAAATTTTCTGGCCTCTGCACCTCAAGACACCAGTGTGGTATTTTGTATTTGTGCCAGGGCTGTTAACAGTATGTGGCATTTTATTTGCTATCAGTAGACTCCAGAGTTAACAGCTGTATTTATAGGACCAGTGACACCAGGAAAGCAGGCAGCAACTGCAGAGCCACCAATGGGAGAAATAAGAGAAGTGAGAGATCTAAAAGGCATGATTCAAGAGGAAACATGGCAGGAATGCAAACTGCCAAGTCAATATGAGACTTGTATCCATGCAAATCTGAAAGAATAGATGTTTTCCATTCCTTCTGTTGACAAGATGAGAAGTCGGGGGTTAAACTACAGGCAGGGACACCAAAGTTTGGCACAAGGAAAAGCTTTCTATAGCTATGAAAGTAATGGTGTAGGCATCTGGATTGTCTGTAGAGAGGGAGAAGTGTGTATTGTATAACTTAAAGGTTTTAAAATCAGGATGAGCAAACCTCTGTTGAGTTCGGATCAGGTGTAGGTGACCTAGTTCTCAACATCATTTCATCAGAAAGATGTATCTGAGAGATGAACAATCAGGAGACATTCAGCACATCATAAACAGAAAATCAAGGTTGTGGTTAATAGGCTGAAAGAAAATACACCTTTGGCCTTTGGACAAAGGTTTGGTGTAGTAGAAGAGTCAAAGCACTGAAAATTAGGCCATACTGGGAGAACAGATCTAGGTGGCAATACTATCCAAGCTTGTAGAACCTGGGAGCAGACTGACCTTAGTTCCAGGCTGGTGGTCAGTTTCCTGGGTGGATGAGCCATTTAACTACTAGGACACTAGGGAAAAGAGCTTGTTGCTGCTCTGAAGCCCATGATATATCTTACTTGGGTTTTGTCCTGCCAAGGTTTGTTTTAGTAGTTTAGGAATGGTATTCTCTAATTTAATACTCCCACTAAAATCATGTGCTGCTCCCCTTCCCTGCTCCCATTGGAGGCACAAAAGGCAAAGTTCACAGGTTGAGATAAAAGCAATTTACTGGAAACAGCAACGAGATAAGAAAATGAACAGTAACAGCAACACTATTAATAACAAAAGTGTACAAAAGAGAGAGTGATTCACATTCCAGAATTTTCACTGTAGAGCTCCCAGCCTGACTGCAGCCAAGCTGTTCTGACTGGAAGAGAGCCCTTCCTTCAAGAAAAAGACTCCCTTCCCCCCACTCCCTGCAATGACATGAGGTGGTATAGAACAACCTTCGGGTCCCAGCCATGTGCCCTCCTGGCTACTGTAAAAATTAACCTTGTTCTGTCCAGAACGAGGACACAGGCCTATATCCATGTAATTTACTTGGAAACCTCTTCCATTACTGTTTCATGCTTAGGCTGAGACAATTGGAGTTGTTTAGCCTGGAGAAGAGAATGCTCTGCCGAGACATCATTGTGGCCTTTCAATACTATAAGGTGGCTTATAAAAATGAGGGAGAGCAATTTTTCACATGGGCAGATAGTGATAGGACAACGGTAATGTTTTTTAGCTAAAAGAGGAGAGATTTAGATTAGATGTCAATAAGAAATTCTTTACTCAGAGGGTAAGTGTGACCCTGGAACAGATTGCCCAGAGAAGCTGTGGATGTCCTATCCCTGGAAGTGTTCCTGGCCAGGTTGGATGGGGCATTGAGCAACCTTGTCTAGTGCAAGGTGTCCCTGTCCATGGCAGAGTGGTTGGAACCGGATGATCTTTAAGGCTTCTTCCAACCCTAACCATTCTGTTATTCTATGATATCATCTTAGGTTAACCCTGACTTATGGCTCT